CTCCCTCGAAAGCAAATATGACTAATGCAACTTTCTTCTCTTGAGGGCAGGACAAGCTGTCAATTATCTTTTCTATCCTTAATAGCCAATTCTTAGCCTCCACTGACATTTCTAATTTTGAAAATAGCAGAGGTCTCATATCTCAGAACAACCTAGGATATTTATCTACCGGCGTTGTCCCACTACCACTGGCCTGGGTTTGAGAATCCTGAATTAATGTCACAATTCTCTTTATTTGAGTAAATGCTTCCATGAGGACACTAACACCACTAGACCATGCTATTTATGACCGCTGGAGAGCTCTCTTTGCCAAGAAACATGGGAGAATCTATGCCACACCTATTATTGCAGCGACGGTGCCACACTCCTGTCTCATTTCAGAGTACTGAGACACTATCTACTTGAACAAACTGTCTTTTCCCCTCATGGTGCCCCCCTCGGTTTGGTTAAGGTTGATGTGGATGGTTTTCTTTTTCCAGACCATATGGCTGGCGTTGGTATGATTATGAGAGATGAAACTAAGAAGCTACTCATTGTCATGGGCTGTCAATTACAACATTAAGACCGTGGGTTCGTCGAACTTCAAGCCATTTTCTCGCTCAAGCAGGTCATCCAACATTGGATGTTAGAAGCTAAGGGTATCATTATTGAAGGAGATAACATCAACAACATCAACTACTTGAGGAACTCGCTAGTTCAGAAGGTTTGAATGGCCAACTCGGAGCAATGCCATACTTTTGCTTTTCTCTTTTCTCTTAGACATATTATCTTTCATTTTATTTCTCGGGAGCTCAACAGGGCTGCCCATTTTTCTGTCCAAAGTGCCCCTTTTACTTGTATGTTATTTCAAGTTCCAATGTCTCAAACCCCTCTTTCAGCAACTTGCATCTTTGCTTATTTGCTATGACAAAGAACTAGTCCTGTGGACGTGGTCTTAATAGTTTCTTTCATCTGCAAGCGAGGAAATTAGCAATCGAGTCAATTAGGTTTGGCATCTCGAATTCCAAATAAATGCCATTTTGTAACAAAAAAGTGGTACATCATATATAATTGACAGGACAATAATAGCAATGTGTATTATAGATATCGGAGTTAACCCAAATCACAAAAAAAAAAAAAAGAATTATTATTGCTGAAATTGAGATTGATTATAACAACGATGGCGAAGATGGTGGATGGTGGCTGGGCAACAGATAGAGAGCTTGTTTGTAGGTTACAAGCACAACTGGAAGCTTGGAATGGCGTGGTTGCAACACTGGAAGGCAGAGAGAAGAGGCAGTAGTAGCAGGACAATAGGGAAGAGGGAGGCGTCAGCTGGCTGGGAGGCTGGAGGGCTGGCGACAACACACTGGGAGTGAGGGATAGCCTTGCTGCAGCAGGTGGGGGTGTTGTAGGAGTGGAGCAGCATGGATCAGGGAATAGGGCTGGCGGCGGGGAAAACAGGAGAAGGTGGACTGTGGAGGACATTTGGGGAAGATAGGTATCCCTGTTTGATCGAGTTGTAGCTAGAACACCCCTCGAACGTTCAGAGAAGATCGTCGCCTCGAGTAAGTTACAGCCGGAGCACTTCCTCGCCTTTAAATATAGACCTAGAAGGGAAAACAACCCTGGCGGCTGGCTTGGACAGAACTCTGGAAGCTGGAAGACAAAAACTGACCCTAACCAAAACAAACAACTATAAATAATGAAGAATAGTAGATATAATAGGTGGGGAATAAAAATAAAAAGGTCATGGAAAGCGAAGGAGGTAGGCATTGAAAATGCTAGAAAAGGAATGACTAGACAAGACATGGAATTAAATAAAAAAATGGGAGTAGAAGGGTTGGACCGCGGTACTAAAGCAGCTACAATACTGCCTTCCTGCAAGCTCCCGCATCAATCTCCCGGGATTGGGGGAGCTTTGACTTTATTTGTCGAAACTTCGGGATCCTTGTAGTACGAAGTCAGGTCCACAACATTGGACGTATCAAAAACATTGTAGTCCTATGACTGGTCGATCTTGTAGGCGTTACCATTTCACAACACATCTTGATAGAATAAGTATGCATTCTTTTTTGGCACCTCCTGAGCTAGAGCAACATATAGATGTAGGTTTCTACGATTTAACTCTCGAATCCTTAAGTTTGAAACCTGTTTCTTCCACTTCTTGTACTCAGCGGAATGTAACTGATAAATAGGCATGTGAGGAAAAATTAACTTTAGGATGAAAGCTGTAGCAGGTTGTTCTTGTCTCGCTTGCAACCACTCAGGAGAGACATTTTCTTCACTGATAGGACTTAAAATTTAATTTAAGAATTTCCTTCCCCATCAAGCTCTTAAGACAAATTTCAACCATGAGGTTCATCCCTCTTGTCTGGACATCTGTTGATGAGTACCATGCTGAACTGAATTTAACATCTGAATAAATCCATGTAAGCTTCTCGACGTGGCACAAAAGGGCCCACTTTCAACCTTGATTGACCTCTCTCAATAGGGGCAACTCAGAAATGAGTCTATAGATATGAATGATCTAAATTTCTTTTATAGGTGTTGTTCTGAGTCTGATATCAGTTCCTCAAACTCATGGCCCTTTTAGACATCTAAGGTCAATTCTATTGATGGTCTTATTAAGGCCTACAAAATGGTAACTCGAGGCACCACAATCTTGTACTTTGTTGGAATGCCCATTACATCATAATCTCTACCTTCTAGAGCAGATAGTGTTACCTTAGCTGGTATCTCTATCTTGGGTTCAATTGGAATCGATAGTGTCTCTTTCTTGTTGGCTAAAAATTGAGAATCCTCTCTGAAGTCTTTATATTCTTTCGGATTACTGTATATTCCTTCAACTGCTCCTTGATCATTAAAAGCGATCGCTCTACTGGTTGTGCAATTCGATTAACTATGCCCAAATCCGTGGCACTGACAACACTTCCTGGCTGTGATAGATTTAGGGATGCAGATTGGTTCCACCTGCTCGCCATTTTGAATTAACTTTTTCTTTGATGTGGTCATCTTGGGTATACTCTGGTTGTATAATCCTGAGGTTGAACTTTGCCTATAAGATGGGGTGATCGCTCGGTGATGTGGTCTCTCCCCTTCTGAAGTTAGCGTCTGCACATTCTGTGTCTAGTAAGTTGGTAGGAGCTGACACTGTCTCTCTCTCTCTTCATCTTCAGTTTCTCACATTCTCCATATATGACCTCTCTCGGTATCCTCTAATACTGGATTCCAAAGCCTTGTAGCCTTTCTTCTTCATCACTAAAATCTTCCCTATGGAAGGGGTAAAAAATCTCATATCTTTCGCCTCTTCGACTCTCCAGATCACTATCGAGGGTATCTCCCCCTGGTTTTCATCTTTAATATCCACAGGCCTATGCTGAAGTCAATGGATCTCCTGCTGTATCTCTTTCAGGGTAGGCTTGGGTATGCTTCTTCTTAGTGGCATGACCGGGGTTTAGGGTTGGGAGGTGAGAGAGGGTGTATAAGACTTAATCGATGGTGCAAAAAATTTATTTGGGGTTGCTGATTTTGAAAGTCAGCAAAGGGAAATTAGGTTTATTGGCTATGGTTTGGGAATATGAAAGAAAATTTTTGGTGGACGGGTAAGACGGATGCTAGGAAACCCTAGGATAAGACTAGGGTTAGTCTAGCTCTGATACCAAATGATACCAGAGTACCCAAATCAAAATAAAAATAGAAATTCACTATTTCTAAAATTGAAATTGGTTATAATGAAGACTTTTCAAAACAGAAAATAAACAACAACAAATATAAAAGACATCATAGGGAAATGGAGGAGGTGGTGGATGGTGGTTGGACAACAGGTAGAGGAGTTGGTTGGGGGTTGCAGGCGCAGTTGTATGATTGGAATGACGTGGTTGCAACACTAAAAGGGAGGAGGGGCGGCGGTATCAGGACAACAGTGAAGAGGGAGGTGTTAGCCCCTGGGAGGCTGGAGGGTTGACATCAACAGGATGAGAAGGGGGGAAGGTCTTGCCACAGCAAGTGGGAGTACATTAGGAGTGGCGGCAACATCAGGGAGTGGGGAATAGGGCCGGCCGACGACAGGGAAAATAGAAGCTAGACTAAGTGGGGATCTGGGGAAGATAGGTATCTCCATGGGTTTGGAGAAGATCACCACTTCGAGCGAGTTACAACCGAAGCACCTTCTCGTCTTCGGATAGAGCCCTGGAAGGGGAAACAAGATCGATGACTGGCTTGGACAGAAATCTGAAATCTGGAAGGTAAAAACTGACCCTAATTAAAGTAAACAACACCTATATAATGAGAAATAGTAGATAAAATAACTTGGGAATAGAAATAGAAAGATGATGGAAAAGGAAGGAGGTAGACAAGGAAAATGCTAGAAAAGGAAGGGCCAGATTAGGCAAGGAATCAAATATGAAAAGGATATGAAAAGGGAGATAGAAGGGCTGGACCGCGCCGTGTCCCGATAAGCTCCAACATCAACAGGCTCTAGAAATGAACTAATATTTTTGTTTTTGTAGTTAAGTATGCTGAGGTAAAACTGTGGCGATATCAGTGTACCTAATTTTATAGGAGGTTCGTTGGATGCGAAAATGGTGACCAACATACCAATGAATGCAATAGATGTTGTGGATCCAATGGTATAACACAATTTGGTGTAGGAATGAGGCTGAAAATCACATAAAAAGTTGTCAAGGGATCTTTTAAATAAATTATGCATAGAACAAAGAATTGGGATTACGCTAATGAAGTCCGTGATTTCTTAACCACTGTAAAGGGGTTTTCTAAAAATGTTTGTTATGATTATTGGCTTACTTGCAATATGATGCTTTCAATTCATATTTTTCTTTTAATTTCACATTCTTTCTGAATAATGCTTGTGCCTTTTCTTGGAATTTTACTACTCTGTTAGTTTCCAAAAAGCTTGAACCTGTGCCTTCTTGTTCTCTTGAATATATTTTAGACAATAAGGTAGTAGTTATTATGTAAGGCAACCTGATTTAAGAACTGATGTCAGACCATAACTTCAGTTCCTCCTGGAGATCAAGGATGGCTTTGCAAGGTTTGCAATTGCAAGATGGAAATTCTAGATACCATAAATGCACACTTTGGCACCTGCTTCACTGTGAATAGTAGCTGGGAGGTGAGCATATGGTAGTGATGACAGAATGCTATTCATCTTTTGCGAGGTAAATTTACCTCAAGCAAAAAGTTCATTCTTTTTTGCCTCATGTTGCTATATCTGCTTGCTGCTTTAATAGGACATATTTAAGGAGGCAATTGTTGGTCCTGATGCTGAAGGAGCGTGCCCTAATGTTGTTGAGGATTGGCCATCTGATGATTCCGGGGATGAAGATTATTGCCCAGACATCACCCAAGAAGAATTTGAGCAGAGTTTCTCGGATGATGCATGCTGTTCAATTGACTCAATTTTTGCTTCTGATGCATCATTGAACTTCATCAGTTGCTTGGATTCTGGTGAATCAGTTGATGACATCACAAACTACCGCAGGCAGCGAAGAGATGTTGACTACAAGAAACTTTATGATGTCAGTGGCTTGATGTGCCATTCTTTCTCTAATATACCTTTGATTTTTTACTCCAATGGTTTTATTTTGATCAGTTTGAAGTCTGATACTTTTCTTTCCTATTAGATATTGCAAGTGTTGGTTGATTGATTGCTATCTTTTGTTTGATCTTAATTGTTAATACCATAAATAACCCCCAATTATTTTTTTGAAAGCATTGATGATAAATTAGCATAAGATTGTTTTTTTTTTTGGGCTAATAAACAAGGCATCTCTTCAGTAAATTGATAAAGTGAAACATATTAATTGAAAAAAATATTGTAATTTTATTAATTCGCTTCTATTGAGGACTGCTGATATGTTGCTTTGCTAAAAAGTTCCCAGCCTTTTAAAATACTAAATTACTTATTTGTGCTTGTTTGTTGTCTATTTATAGGAAATGTTTGGGAAGGAGCCAAATGAAGGAGTTGAACAAAGTGAAGATGAAGACTGGGGCCCTTATAGGAAGAAAAAAGTAAGGATTGGATCTGATATTGGCATTACCTCTGCAGATGGTGAGAAGGACAATCATGTGACAATGGCATTGGGAGATATGTTTTCATGTAATAAGAGATCCTTTTTTAGGATCCCTCCTGATGCTATTGAGGTAATCATAAGTAGGCCACTTTTTATTGGATTTATCATTAAGCATTAACCTTTTATAAATTTATAATCTTTAAAATCAAGATAGGGATGACCTGAAGGTAAGTTAATGACTGATGTTAAAAAAATTTATTATATAAGATTTCATTACGTAATTTGATTTAACATTTTGGTGTGCTGGAAAGGCCTATCCATTCATTTGTCATTTTGTTTTGAAGGAATCAAGGAAAAAGATGGCAGGATGAAAGACGTGTAAAAGAAAAAGTTCAATTCCTTCATCTGCTTGGTTTTGAAAATATATTTTTTGTAGAAATCAGGAATGAATTTTATCTCTTGCTCCAATCCATACATTACAGTTTGCCACATATATATCATACTGAAAATAAACAAAGTAGAAAAACCTCCAAAATAAGAAATATAGAAAAATAAAATATCTAACATAGAAAATACAATTAGTGAAATATATTCTGCAGGAGGAAATACATTCCCTTCTAATGCGGATTGACACTTTCCAATACCCCCCTCAATCTAGTTTTTATATATTGTACAAACCATGCTTGGACTTCAATTCATCATGATTGACCCTGGGTAGTACTTTGGTAAGAATATCAGCAATCTGCTGTCGTGTAGAAACATAACTGAGAGATTAAGTGTCAATCAATCTTAATATGTTTTGTTGTGCATGATATATGTGATTTTTGGCTATACTAATAGTTGTTTGGCTATTATTGAACATTTTAATTATCTCACATCTTAGCCTTATGTTCCCTTAATAGCTTTTGAATCCATATTTCCTCACTTATTCATAGTGTAAGAGCGTGATATTCAGATTTTGCTCTACTCCGAGAGACAATAACTTGATTTTTTGCTTCTCTATGTGATGAGATTACCCTAGTTGTATAAATAGTTTCTAGTGGTTATTTTCCTACTAGTTACATCTCGTGCCCAACTAGCATCTAAATATATCTCTATATCACGGTTTTCAGATATTTTGAATAACAAACCGTCTCTAGGAGTATCTCAGAATTCTGTTCAGTGCTTCTAAATGATCCTAATTTGAGGTATTTATGTGTTGACTTACTATACTGACTGAGTATGCAATATCAAGTTTTGTGTATGATAGGTAAAGTAATTTGTCCACAAGTCTTTAATATCTTTTTTGGTCAACTGGATTATTTTCTGCACCTCTTTTAATTCTTTTGTTTGAATCCATAGCTGTGTTGGTGGACTAAGATGTACTTCTTTTAGGATAATGACAATTCCCTCATTAAACTGAACCACTTCCATTTTTAGAAAATATCAGAGATTTTCTAGGTCCATGATCTCAATTTTTGTTGTATCTTTTTTTAGTTTGATAATTTAATCTAAATCATCACCCGTCAAGATAATATTGTATACATATATTATGAGAATAACATTTTTGCCTTAAAAATTGAATTTAACAAACAATATTTAATCAGCTTGACTCTGATGATATTCATTTGTAATCACTATTTTAGCAAACCTACCAAACTAAGTATGATTGGATTGCTTCAAGCTGTATAAGGACTTCATCAATTTGCAAACCAATTTACTGTTCAACTTATTTTTCAAGCTCAGAGGTATAGTCATGTTGGCTTATTCATCAAGGTTGCCAAGAAAGAAGACAATTTTGACATCTAAGTTGGTATAAAGACCAAACTTGATTTACCGCAAGAGATAATAATACCCTAACAATATTAAGTTTGGCAGCATGTGCAAATGTTTCATGATAGTCATTCATGTATGACTCCGTCAAAGCTTTGACAACCACTATGGCTTTTAATTTCTCTGCGCTTCCATTTCTTTCGTATTCGATCGTGAATATTAATTTGCAACATACTGGATTTTTTCTATGAGGTAACTTTGCAAGTATTCATGTGTTGCTCTTTTCTAGAGCTCAATTTTTTTCCTCAACTGCCTGTTTTCTTGTTGGGACCTTTAGAGCCTATTGGATAGGGTTGGAAATATGCACACTATTAAGGGTTTTCACAAAAAGCTTTGTAAGATGGCAGCAACTTCCCATAGGCTACATCTCTTTCAATTGGATGATCAGTGCACTCTCGGATATCTTTCCTATGTGCAATTGGTTGATTAAAACCCTCAACCATCGGTATAAGAGAGTTATGAGTTGAGAAATCCATACCATTATAACTATCAGGAGGACTTGGTTTTGGCTTTTGATAATCTTGAGTCTGCATGGTGTCTTCTACATGCTTAGTAGTCATTCTTCTTCTAGTGTAGATACAATTTTTAATTATAGGTGTCATGTTGAGGTGGAGTAGAGACAATTGTGATTGTTTCTATGGCAGAGTTTGATTCTTCAAATAGAGTTGAGACAAATAAAGCTTGTTGAGGGACAAGATTTTGTTCAATTAGAAGAAAAATGATCGGAGTATCTTCAAAAAAATCCAAAATCTTATATTCCTTCGAGTTCTCCTCCTGAATTTTAAATTTGGTAAAACAATATTAATTATCAAAGAATGTAACATCTATGAAAAATAACATTTGTATATTTTTTGATTAGATGAGTAATAGAGGAGAAGACATTTGAGAGACCTGAGATCAGTTTGGTGCGGTGTTGTTTTGGATCTGAACAAAAGCAAAATAATCAAAAACCATCAATGATAAGTCATAAGCAAAAGAGTGAATGTGTAAGTAGGATTCCATTAGAACGTTACTTAGAATTTGAAAATTTAGGACTTGACTAGGCATCCTATTGATGAGATATCCAACTGTGAGAATGGCTTCCCCCTCAAAGATTTTTTGGCATGTGATTACATAACATATTGATATGGGCCACCTAAGTGTCTATTTTTTTTCTTTCAGTGGCTCCATTCTGTTGATGAATATCTACACAAGAAATTATATGGATAATACTGTGCTTAAAAAGATAAGGACTAAGAATGGGTCTAAAGTATACTTTGGTATACAATTTTAAAAATTTGAATTTTTCTTTGGAATTGTGTGAGGATAATTGAATAAAATGATTGAAATATAGTGGTTGTTTCAATTCTTTGCTTTCATGAGAAATTCCCATGTTGTTATTGTGTGATCATTTATGAATGAAACAAACTATCGTGCCCCATTTATAGAAAAATGATGTGAATGCATGTGTATTGCAATTTGGAATATACATATCTGATAGTTTTTGTAAGTAGACAAGTTTCACGTTATAAATGTTGGATTTTTTAATGATAAATAATTGTGAAAACATCTTTTCCATGTATGCAAAATTTAGATAACCAAGATGATAATTGACAATTACTCAACATGACTTGACTTTCAACTAAATCAGGATTTGAATTAGACTTGAATATGTGACTTGATTGATGACATTATCTACCGATGGAGTTATTTTCCTTGAGCAAGTATAGACTACCATGCATCGCAGTACTATCAACCACCTTCCTCAAATCCACAATTTAACAATCACAATAATTGGAATAATATTTAGTCATACATTTCGATCACGAGTAAATTTGTTGATTGAGATTATGTTGCATTTAATTTTGAAACATAAAGCGCAGAGTATAGGTGAGGATCCATTGTGAATTCGACCGACGCAACTCTTGCTACTGATGAGGACGAGCGATCAACTATTCAGACTGAAGAATAACCGATACATGGGTTGTAATTTTTGATGATATTAGTGTTTGCAGTCATATGATTTAAGATCCCAGACTTTAGACTCAACCATCCAAGATTTTAATTTATTGTTTTAGACACTAAAAGTATAGGATAAGACATCTTGGTGTGCTAACAGGCTGATAGGTTGCTTGACAGAGGATTGTTATGCTTGTACAAAACTTGAACTATTATTAAATATTGTATAAAGCACGTCAATTTATTCCGTGGTGAATTGGTTGAATTCTAAATTGTTGTTGAAAAATATGATAAGGACCAAAGATGTAAAATCATATCTTGATGTGACTTCCGATGAAGTAGATTATGAGGTCATGTTATGTTTGGCTATGATAAAATTGTGAAGCCCTACTCGAGAAGACTTGCTGCATGGACGAAAATGAGAGGACCCTTAGCTTGACTGCGCGACTGGATCGACGAACCGAAGTTGGAGGAGATGAGCAATTCTCGATTACCACACATTTGACAAATTATGAGAAATGTTCAGGTCTTTTGTAATCAGCGACTCGTGAGAGGACAACTGATGTTGTTAATTGGGTTTCACTCGGTGGAAATTTTAGATCTCTATACCTTGGTATTTTTCGACAGATTGATCACGGTAGCTGGGGATTTCTATTCTTTGATAAAAGGCTTTGAACCATAGTTGCAACAAATTAATGTATTTTGGGCAACTTTAGTGAATCGAAGCTTGAACTGTTTGAACGAAGCATCAAACGGAAGAGATGGATAGAATGGAGTATTCTGCTCGAATGGTAAGATCCGGATGATGCATCTGTGAGGAGACGACACATTGTCTTCGAGCTGAAGATGCGGGCCGCGGTTGGAGGACACGTAGAACTATTCTCCCTTCAGGTCTATTTGAACGGAAGAGATAGAAGATCGCAACTGAAGACCTTTGATAGCTTTGGGAGTAGAGGCGGCGAAGACCGTGATGCAATGTGATGAGCGAGTACATAGACAAGCAGACTCGATAGCAGAGGAGTCCTCGAGAAGCCTTCGACAGTGAGGTCAAGGCAGACGTTCCGCTTTGCAGTCCGCATGCTTGAAGAAGCATTTCACTGTTGCTCATCTCTCTCATAAGCACGTGTAGCTCATGCTTAGCAAAGGAGTTCTTGGGAAGCCTTCGATAGCAAGGTAAAGGCAGACGATCCGCTTTGCAGTCCGCATGCTTGAAGAAGCATTTCACTGCTGCTCATGTTTACTTGAGCGACAGAGCCGTCGTTCGATTTAGGGTTTCTGCTACACGTGCTTATGAAAGAGATGTCCCATAGCTCTGATACAATGTAGAAATCAGGAAAGAATTTTTTCTCTCCCTTCAATCCATCACCCACACACACACAC